CAGCAACCATGGCAAACCAAGGTGCTGATGCAGTACCAGCAGCTGTAGATCCAATGTCTGATCCATTTTACCTTCATGGTTCGGAGCAGCCAGGACTCCAGCTCGTTGCAGAGAAGCTAACACCAACAAACTACAATGATTGGAGCAAAGCTGTTCACAATGCCTTGGGTGCGAAAAACAAGCTTGGTTTTGTGGATGGCTCCATTCCAGATCCAAGTCAAGGAAGTCCCAATGCCTGGGCCTGGAACAGAAACAACATAATGGTTCTTTCTTGGATCCAACAGGCAGTAGATCCTGGGATAAGGAAGACCATCATGTCCTGCAAAACAGCAGTTGAAGCATGGAGAAGCCTCAGAGACAGATAAGGACAGGGAGACATGGCGAGGATTGCAGAGCTGATTGAGTCCATCTGCAATCTCAAACAAGGTAATCAATCTGTTACTGAGTACTATGCGAACCTCATAGCTCTAAGAGATGAGCTGGATAATTATCAGCCACTAGAACCCTGTGTTTGTACCACAACTAGTCACACCACCTGTAGAGCCATGTTGCTGGTCCAAACATACAGGGATACAAACTATGTGATTCAGTTTTTGAGAGGCCTGAATGATAATTTTTCTGGAGTAAGGTCACAAGTTTTATTTTGTGAAGCTTTACCATCAATAGATCGAGTTTTTCAAAGAATGTTACAGCATGAGAGACAACAATCTGGAACTCAACCAGCAAAGAATCTAGCCACTGAGGGCATGGCTTTTGCTGCACAAGGAAACATCAATTATCAAGGAAGGAGGCCAAGGCCATTCTGTACCTACTGCAAGTTTTCAGGGCACACAGAAGACACATGCTATCACAATCATGGATGGCCACCTGGGATGAGCAACACCAGATCAGGAAGCTCCACAGGAAATCCAGTCCAATGCACCTATTGTAAGAAGCAAGGGCACACTGAAGACAAGTGTTTCCAGAAGAATGGATATCCACCAAGGACTGGTGGATATAAGGGCAAAGCATCTGCCAATGCCACCTCAGTTGCTCCTGATCAAGAGGAAATCAAAATCAGCAGAGCTGATTATGAGAAACTAATGAATCTCATGAGGGACAAGGACACATGTGGTAAACCACAGCAGAATCCATCTCCATCATTCTCAGGTGCAACATGGATCCAACAGAATCCAGGTACCTATACTCTAAGTGCTCAAAACCAATCACCTAGGCATGCTTGGATCCTTGATACTGGTGCCTCGGATCACATTTTTTGTTCTCTCAACTATCTTGTGAATCCTAGACAGGTTTCCAACATTCCTATAACTCTTCCAACAGGAGATCATGTTCAAGCTACACATACTGGAACAGTCACATGTGTAGCTGACTTGACTCTTGAAAATGCCTTGTTTGTACCTGAGTTCAATTTTAACCTCATCTCTGTGAGCAAATTGACCACCAATTCAGCCCTAAGCTTAACTTTCTTTTTCAATGTCTGACTCATACAGGATATGCAGTTGAGGAAGATGATTGGTTCTGCTAAGCTCACCCATGGCCTTTACCTATTTGACAGCCCCTACATAGATAGTAAACCTAAACATTTTGCTGCCACTAGTGCACAAACTTTTGACCTATGGTATTACAGGCTAGGACACGTTTCTCATTCTAAGATCCCTCATTTGAGGAAACTTTGTACATCCATAGAAACAGATGCCTCCACACCCTGTGATACCTGTCATTTTGCTAGACAAAAGAGATTACCATTTCCTTGTAGCAACACTGTTTGCAGCTCTCCTTTTGACTTGATACATGTTGATCTTTGGGGTCCAAACTCTACTCCTAGCTATGATGGTTTCAAATATTTCTTGACAATTGTTGATGACTTTACAAGAATGACTTGGGTTATTCTTCTTTCTGCTAAATCTGAAACCAGAACTAAACTCAAACACTTCTGTTCCTATGTTGAAAGATAGTTTCATACCTTTGTCAAAAGAATCAGGAGTGATCAAGGACTATAATTTCAAATGAATGATTACTTTAACCAAACAGGAATAGTTCATGAACTTTCCTGTGTTGAAACACCACAGCTAAACAGCAAGGTGGAAAGAAAACACCAGCATATTCTTGCTGTGGCTCAAGCCTTGAAATTCCAGGCCAATCTCCCAGCTGGTTTTTGGGGACATTGCATCAAACATGCTGTCTATCTTATTAATAGGGTTCCTACAATTGTTCTGGGGAACCAAACCCCCTATGAAAAGCTATTCAGTAAACCTCCCGATTTCACAGAATTGAGAGTATTTGGTTGTTTATGTTTTGCTAGTACTCTTCACAATCACATAAAGAAATTTAATTCAAGGGCTAGAAAAGGTGTTTTTATTGGATTCACAACTGGAATTAAGGGATACAAAGTTTATGACCTACTTACCCATGAGGTTTTCACCTCTAGAGACATTCAATTCTATGAAGATCAATTTCCCTTCCAGAACACACCAGATTCCCCTACAACTGATCCTTCACCTATCCACCCTTACCATCCTGCTACCTTTGATGACTTTACTCCATCATATACACCTCATCATCCTCCTGCAGCCCCTGAACCATTCCTCAATGACATACATTTTGAGTCAGACACTGAGATTCCTTCTTCTCCTTCCTCCTCATCTCCTTCCCCATCTCCTTCCCCACCACCTCCCCCACCTCCTCCACCCCAACCAGTTAGAAAATCAAACCGCCAATCCAAACCCCCTCCCCATCTTCAATCCTACCATTGCAACCTGCTTCAGCAGCTTTCTTCCACCAATCATCTTCCAAGATAGCATACTCCAGGTATCACATTTCCCCTCTCTTCTGTCATTGATTATTCCAATCTATCTTCTTCTCACCAAAAATTTGCCCTGAGCATTTCTACCCTGAAAGAACCAGAAACTTATCAGGAGGCCTTCTTATCTGATGAATGGAATGAGGCTATGAAATCAGAAACACAGGCACTTGAAGCAAACCATACCTGGGATATTGTTGAGAGACCTCCGGATGCCCGAGTCATAGGCAACAAATGGGTTTACAAGTTCAAATTTCTCCCAGATGGGAGCCTTGAACGCAGAAAGGCTCGCTTGGTAGCCAAAGGGTACATACAACAAGAAGGTGTGGATTATCAGGACACCTTTGCTCCTGTAGTGAAGATGACAACCATCAGGCTCTTTCTTGCCCTTGCAGCTGCACAATACTGGTTTGTTCATCATCTGGATGTCAACAACGCCTTCTTACATGGTGATTTAGACCAGGATGTTTACATGCGATTGCCTCCAGGCTATTGCCCCCCTCCTGCGTTTAAACACCCTGTCTATAAGCTCAGAAAGTCCCTCTATGGCCTTAAACAGGCTTCCAGACAGTGGTTTGCCAAACTTGCAGACACCCTCATCATCCTTGGCTACCAATCTAGCAAGGTTGACCATTCCCTCTTCTTCAAATCCAATGGCAGCTCCTACACCAGAATACTTGTTTATGTAGATGACCTTATTGTGGGTGGCAATGATCTTGCTGAAATTGATCGCCTCAAGACACATCTTCACCAGGAATTCAGCATCAATGACCTTGGCAACCTTAAAATTTTCCTTGCCATTGAGGTTGCCAGGAGTAAGAAAGGAATTCACATCTCCCAGCACAAATACACTCCGGAGATTCTTGAGGAGGCAGATCTTCTTCACTCTAAACCTGCTTCCACTCCCATTGATTACAAGGTTCACCTCTCTGCCTCCCACTCAGACCCATATTCTGACCTTGAATTCTACAGAAGGTTGGTTGGGAAGCTCATTTACCTCACCACCACCAGGCCTGAGATCAGCTATGCAACCCAACAGGTCAGTCAGTATATGCACAATCCAAGCAATACCCACTTCAAGGCTGTACTCCGTATCTTACGTTATCTGAAGACAGCTCCATCCAGTGGCATCTTCTTCTCTTCCTCTTCTTCACTTCACCTCAAGGCATTCAGTGACTCTGATTGGGCGGCCTGCATTGACACCCGCCGCTCTGTCACAGGCTACTGCGTCTACTTGGGTGATTCTCTTGTCTCTTGGAAGAGTAAGAAGCAAACCACAATTTCCATGTCCTCCTGTGAGGCCGAATACAGGGCCCTCGCATTCACCACCTGTGAGGTCTAATGGCTCCTGTACTTGCTTCAAGACTTTGGCATTTCTCATCCCCAGCCTGCCACCGTGTTTTGTGACAATCAGTCGGCAATCTACATCGCCGAAAATCCAACATTCCACGAACGGACCAAGCATATTGAGCTTGATTGTCACTTTGTTCGTGAGAAATTACTTGCAGGTACCATCAAGATTCTCCATGTATCCACTCTCCACCAGCTCGCCGACGTCCTCACCAAGCCTCTCCCGCCGGCGAGCTTCTCTACTCTCTTCTCCAAACTTGGCGTGCTCAATCTCTGCCCGCCAGCTTGCGGGGGGTATCAGGGAAAACAATCAGTTTTTCCCCAAATTTGAATCCAAAGCAACCGAAGAAGACGACCGTTGCATCAAACGTCGCCTTTGTGTCAAGACTCGCTGCGACTGATCCAAACGCTGCCGTTGTGACAAGACACACTCTCACTAAACCGGACGACACCGTTTCGCCGAGACCACAACCGAGAAGCTGGAGTGATGTCGTTTCTGGCAAATTACCAACAGCTCCCTAAACTTGTTATTTGTATTTCTTTCCATTTCCGAGTTGTACTTGCTTAGGACCCAAGCTTTGTCTTCTTCTTCCAATCTGTCTGTAAGTGAACTACCCAGCTATATAAGCTGAGAGAGTAATGAAATGAGGCACGGCTTCTGATCCTCAACCCTAAAAGGTTGTTAAAAGAAGACGTAAAAGTCCTCGCATCCTTCCTCCAAAACATCACTTTGCACATTCACCTTCTCCAATGATTTACCTCCCTCTCAACAATCACCCCTTCACTTCCATAAGATAGGTAAGACAATGAGCTAGAACTATCGAAGTAAATATGTAATCGAAAATCCCAAGGGAGCCAACAAACAGATACGGATAGGATTTCGGAGATCTTTCAATGTTACACAATTCTGTTGAATACAGATCCCGACCAGTACAACTATTGCAATCCCACGCCCACATCAACAGTCAGGAAGAACAATGTCCCTTTCATTCATAAGGTGGCTTGGAAACATAAGGTATTTATGATAGGATCCGCAATAGCGGTTTCTGATTCATCTATGCAATCTTCCGTGAAAATGACTACAGCTGACCTTTGAACAGTTTCTCCATCAGGCATTCAGAAGAATTCCCAGATCAAGTCTTCGATACAGGAGCTTGCATACGACCGCTTAAACTCTGTCCACATGATCTTCTGCTCGAGTCTTCAGGCTTTTATGCGAACCACGAATGAACCTAGTAATGGGTTCACAAGCATGACAAACATAACAATGCTCAGAATGCATTGATTTGATTAAGAAGAGTAGGCTAAAAAGTTTCTGCTCAAGGCAAGCATCTCTCATACTCTGCCTGAACACGCACGTTATGAAAGATGGAAAGTAAATGTTGATCAGGAAAATCAGGATGAGATGTACAACGGCTTAGAGGTCACATAATAGTGTGGGAGCAATATCAGAAAAAATTAACCAAGTATAAGGGTCTCTGAATGGGTAAAATACAACATCTAAAGCCAAATTCCATCAAATAGAACGCCTAAATACCCACTACAAGCAGTAAAGTTACCAATGGCAGATGTATTGCAGGTTCTAGTGATATAAAGAGGCACTTAGTACTACGGGAACCAGGATATAATGTGCATTTAAGCATATCACAAGTGATAAGTAAATCAAATGATCTATTGGCATTATGGACAAAAGAATGCTGCAGTTTCTGACAAGATAAAAGGTATTCAGGCTGCAACCAAAGAAGTAAAATATCTATCCGAACTTATGTAGACAAATTGATATTCACCAGGCTGTATGTAAATTAATCAGCTATGGGTAATAAAAAGACTTTTATGGAAGGAAACATTAATTGCTTGGATGATGGATTTCTTAAATGAGCCAATTTGACCCAATTGCTTCAAAATTGTCTCATCTCCCAATTAATTCAAATTACCATTTTGTGTTGCCAAACAAGGTCTCGATGACCTCACAACTATCCATTGCAATGACCATTTAAGCATATAGAACAAGCATAACTAGGCAAGTAAACATGATTCGGGATACTCACAAGCTGGAAGGTTAGATATATCAGCAGAAACTGCACAAGGGATCCCGAGATTCGAAAGAGCCCCTCTAATGATTCCGCAAGGGAAATAGAGATACATGCTCATCGCTTGAGCAGCCTTGCTTTCTGCAAAATCAGCAGGATCCTGAGGAACTGCATCATCAGCCGTCGGATCCAGTGACATCCTCGCAAGCCAACGAAACCGATTGTCTTGCAACACAAACGTTCCCTACAATGCAAAATCACAAAGATGAAAGTAGCTCGTTTCACACTTCAGACGAACAACAAAAATCACATGAAAAGGAAAGCCAACTATGAAATAACTGGAATTCAAAGCCTCACTCTATGGTTCGTCTTCAAGTTATCGATCTGCTTCTTGAAAAGCTCAGACCAAAAGTCCTTGCAAATGAACTTTATTGCCTCTAGATGATCGCTAAACCGAGGTCTCTCCATCGTATACCTAACACAAACACCAAACTACCAGAAAGATTATGATCTCTCACTCAGCACTACGTTCTCTATTCATTTCAATTTACTCGAATCAAAAGCCAAATTACATGAAACGACACGAGAGCTTTAAGAATAACTGTTTCCTCCACCGGCCAAACCGCGGAAGAAACATCGTCAAGTAACCATAAACAAATACAAAACTTCGATCCGATGCTCTTAGCAACAGACGGCGATCGTAATTGAGAGCTTACCGCTCGGAGAGCTGGTGACCGACTTGATAACCGATGGCCTCGATCCGGCGGGCGGCGAGCTCAGGCTTGTTGGCGTAGAAATGGTTGCAGTACGACGACACCATCTCGGTGAGTAAGCTGTCGATGCAACTCTCCGACACTTCTCTCCCCATTTCCCTCAGGTTTACGATCTCTCTCCGACGGGGCAGTGGTTTTCTGATTCTTCAGTTAATGGATTTGGTATGGAATTGTGGACGATTTTTCATTTTTCTCAATCTCCGCAAGTATTTACTATTACGATGAGCTGTGTGAGCTGTCTGTGTTTCGAGTGGGCCTAGTGAGATTTGGGCTGAAATTCCGGGCCGTATGTAACTAGTGGACTAGCAGTCGCTCTAATGAATTCCCACAGGCCATCACCCTCCTCTCTTTATGTCCGAAAAATTACTATCTTATGAAATATCTTTAAATAAATCAATCAATAAAATTAAAACTATTTTGTGAATATCTAGGCTATCACACAATGACACAACTAAATCACTTAAACCTTTTTATCAAATAGTTGATCAAAAAGATTTTCATTCAAGTAATCAAATTATTAGTATTGACTATCGAAAGCAAGTTAATTTTGTTGGAATTCATCAATTTTGTAGAACGATTCAATTCTAGGTATATTTTTGGGTTTCACAAACGAAGAAAAGCTTTTGGAAGAACATGAAGGATCCCTCGTTTTGGAAAATGAAGAAGACGAGATGATAAGCGAAGGGGTGAAGAGGAAATGAGTTGCTAAGTTTCAATAGACTTTGGAAGGAATGGATAGACGATGGTGACTCAACCAAAACAAAAGGAACAATTTGGACTCAGACCAAAGTTCGTCTAAAACTCAAGTTCAAGCACAATCAATTGCGCATAATGATTCATCAAAAAAAAAAAAAATGTGCATAATGATTTGCGACTAAAGCTCGGAGAGACGAGCCTGACTTCGTCTGCAGCCCAAAACATGAAAAAGAAGGGCTAATACCACTAGGAAACCCGAACTATTAACTTTGTGTCATTTGTGTCCTAAAGTATTCGATACGACATTTGTGTCCTAAACTATTTCACCGTTAGAGTTGACCGGCGTTGACCGTTAGTTTTCAACAGAAAATTCAGTAAGCGCTGATGTGGCATCTGAAGTGGATTTTATAATATTAATTTATAATTATTTTTCATATAAAAAAAATTAAAAAATTACAAAAATCCACTAGGAAGCGTATGATTTTGGGACTTCTTCTTCCTCCTCCTTCCTCCTCGACAGATCCGCCACCAGAAGCGTATGATTTTGGGACTTCTTCTTCCTCCTTCTTCCTCCTCGACAGATCCGCCACCAGAAGCGTATGATTTTGGGACTGTCGCCTTACTCGCACCATCGCCGCAGCAATGGAGGAGGCCGTCGCGAACTCGTCATCTTCCGCCGCGGCTCCGATGTGCTAGAGCAATATCTTGAAGAGCCAGCCGCCGGCGCCGTCACCAAAGCCACAGAGCTCTACAAGCGCGACCCAGATGTTCGACGAGAGCTGCAAGTCGAGCAAAGGGACAAGGGGGTGACGGGGCTGAGCACGAGCGTCGGGAAGTCGAGGAAGTGAGGAATATCTATGTTCTCCATCGTTAGATCTACAATGTTCTCTGTCTGAGATTGAATCACAAAAAAAAAAAAATTCAATCTTCCCACCTGCTTATTCCTCTGAATCCTTCACCGACGGCTGATTGCTAATGTATCTCGACTGGTATCGGAAATCTAGAGAAGAGAGAGCAAGAGAGCGCCGGCCCTAGATTCTTCCGCAACCGCTTCATCTCTACTCATGCCGGGGCAGTTGATTTGCAGGTTTATGTTCATCGATTTGGTTTCCATGGCGGCGGCGGCATGGAAGAAGCAGGGGATAAGTGCTTAGTCCTCAGCTTGGCGCGAACGCCGATTACAGGGCGAATTGAGAACTTCTGGCTGAGAGGAATCACCAAATCGATCTCCTCTTCCTGCTCAAGAACAATCACCGTGTTGAGAGCGAGCTTCCTCGCGAGGAGAGCGAGGGAAATTGCAGACCAGGAAGGCATCTGGGTTTCCTTTACAGAGGCAGCTCATGGCGAGGAGAGGCATCTGAGCAAATCGATTTCTTGGTGGGGGAGGGTTTCTCTGCCGTGGGGGAGGACGGAGATGTTGCCGGAGTTGTTAACGGCGAAGGATTTCTCGCTGTTGGCGATTTTTAGAAACAATATTAATTAATTAAGTTTACATTTTTTTAATTTTTTTCTAATTTTTAATTATAAATATGAGGTGTCATTGACGTGGCATCTACGTGGCTGCCACGTCAACAAAAGTCAATGTTAATGTTGACTTCCGTTTGGTCAACCGTTATATATAACGGTCAACAAAATCGTCAGGACATAAATGACACAAAACTATAATAGGTTGGGACACAAATGTCGTATCGAATACTTTAGGACACAAATGACACAAAGTTAATAGTTCGGGTTTCCCAGTGGTATTAGCCCTGAAAAAGAACAAGCAGTAAAACGTAGAACAAAAAGAAAGGATACTTTGATTTTTTAACGTGTTTCACCCAAGCTATGGATTACTCCGTCCTAAAACCAGTATCACTACTTTTAGACGACCACTATTTTTATTTGATTTTTCCTATAGAGGAAGAGGGAAAGAAAGCCAAAAGAAAAGACTCGGGAACATAGAACAACAAAACCTGGATCCTAAACTAGAATCGTTACAGTGTTTGACAAAGTAGAACCTTTACCCCTAATATGTCAAACCCTTCATAATGGCAAGCCGCAATCACAATCCTTTATCCCCATTGCTTCTTACAAAGTTACTTTTGTTTGAATGAGATGAAAGACTATAAATAGAGTTGTACAAATAATCGTTATAATTTGAATTGAGAAATAAGATGAAAGGTTTATATTTGCTTGATCTTCCTTGATGTCGTGAAGAAAACGATAAAACAATGATACATTGTTAATTAATTATTGAAAAAAGAAAACCTCCAACATTGCCCTTTACTGTGGCGTCACTCTACTTTTGTTGTACTTACAGACTCACAATTACTGTTACAACTCGAATTGGTATTGGGTGTGGGCGGGTGCAGTGGAGCACTGATTAGTTCCTAACGGGATTGTGTCTGTTCGGTTGCGTTTGAACTTTTGGTTAGGGGATTTTGATCTCTTGCGTGAGGCTCCCTTTAGTTCCCATCACCCGCATTGATCGCACGACAACTAATTAGAAAGTGGGGAGGCCACCTGCTTACTTTTGTTGCTTTTATCAAGAATTGGGGACTAGATACTATAACAACACTCCTTTTGTTGTTATTGTAACAACACTAGTCTCCAACCAATAGGAAGCTAGGGTTGTGATGACTTTTTATTATTTGAGTTGACCTAGTGTAAAATCAAAGCAGGGGTATAATCGTCATTATGAAAAAATTAAAAAAAATTAAAAAATAAAAAAAATAATAAAATAAAAATTATTTTTTTATTTTCCGCCAAAAAATTTGGTCGCCGAAATTCGGTCACCGGTCGCCGATCACCGGAATATGTTTTTCGTCGCCGGAATATGCTATTTTCTCATCGGAATATGCCACCGGCGCCGGAATATGCTTACCGGCGTCGGAATATGCTTACCGGCGACGGAATCTAGTCATCGGGGCCGGAATATGCCTATCGGTGTCGGAATCTGCTCACTGACGGTCATCGGAGTTCGGTCAACGGTCAACGACCACCGGATGCTATGGTCTGCATTGTGAGATTTATGGTTTGGTTTCTCACATTTTTGTATTCCTTTTGTGGTTTGCTTTATCACGTTTGTGGTTTGCATTGAGAAGTTTCTGGTTTGCTTTATCGCGTTTGTGGTTTGCATTGAGAAGTTTCTGGTTTGCTTTATCGTGTTTGTGGTTTGCATTGAGAAGTTTCTGGTTTGCTTTCAAAAACTTTGTGGTTTGCATTGAGGGGTTTGTGGTTGTTTTAGGAGATTTGTGGTATGCATTAGGAGGTTTCTGGTTTGCTTTTTTGTGGTTTGATTTACTGTGTTTGTGGTTTGCATTAGGAGGTTTCTGGTGTGCTTTCGCAACTGTTGTGGTTTGCTTTGTGAGGTTTGTGGTTTGTTTTAGGAAATTTGTGGTATGCATTAGAAGGTTTCTGGTTTGGTTTATTGTGTATTTTTTTATCATGTGTGTGGTCTGCATTAGGATGTTTCTGGTGTACTTATGAAAGACTTGTGGTTTTTTTTTGTGTGGTTTGCTTTACCGTGTTTATGATTTGCATTAAGAGGTTTCTGGTGTGTTTTCGCAAATGTTGTGGTTTGCTTTGTAAGGCATGTGGTTTGTTTTAGGGAATTTGTGGTATGCATTAGAAGGTTTCTGGTTTGCTTTTTTGTGGGTTTTTTTATCACGTTTGTGGTCTGCATTAGAAGGTTTCTAGTGTGTTTATTAAAGACTAGTGATCTGCATACCGATAACTCCTAAGTGCATGCTATAAACACAATAATACAATAAAATACATTAAAACCCCCTTCACATCAAACAGGGGGAATTTGCTAATAATACTTAGTTGTCATGCGAAAGACGTCAGTGTCATGGAAGCCTTAGTTGTAATTATTCAGGAATCAGGAGGGGGCTGTTGATCTTTATCATTCCTCTTTTGGGGTAAGGACATTGCTTCTTGTCATCGGCGTTGAATGAATCTACCTTGTTGGTTTCTTCTGAACTAACCGCCACCATGGTTTGAGAAGGGAAGAGATTAGGAACAACACACTGTTCTTGTGCCGCATTCTGAACCGGCGGGGACGCCACCACTCAATCAACACTAAAACCTATCTTTCTTCCCTCGTTGCCTTTGCTTTCTCGAACATGATCATTACCCTGCGTATCCGGATGGAAGAACACAACACAGCAACATAATTCCGTAACACAAGGGACAAATCCACTTTATTTTAATATTCCGTTCTCCAATATTTGTTCGAACCAATTTCGGGAAGGCTTCATCAATGTGTTTTGTGAATTTCGATAGGATTTTGCTCTGCATTGCTCTTCAACCTGTCATCTCAAGCTTCGGCATCTTGTGCAATCGATCAATCAACATGCAGCATTTAATGTTGCTGAAACTCACGAGGAAGAAGCCGACGTTCGGTCAGCGAGATTGGTGAAGGAGACGAACCACTCCTATTGCTCGACGTCTACGATGGTTCATTCGCCATGGATGGGGTTTCTTCATCTCCGACCTTGGAGGCTGCGATTCGAGCTACGACGGAGGGACGGCGGAGTTGAAACGCGGGAGGGTTTTGATTTTACAGGGAAGCCGGCAGGGGAGAAGAAGAATCCAGATCCAGCAGGAGTGTGAAGGAGACAGGGTGGATGGGCTAAATATATTTTAATTTAATTTAATTTTAATTTTATTAAATTTTAGATAAATTTACTCTTATACCCTTAATGAATCTTGTTGTTAGTATAACAACACTATAAGTGTTGTTATACTATCCGCACCCCAAGAATTGTATCCAATTAGAGAAAGGCAGAGTTGCAGAGGTGACTGATGGGGTAATGGCGTAATGCCCTGTCAGCCATAGAGCAGCGTTGACGGGACCGGGGGGCACCGACCGAGGCAAGAGATAGCAAAAGCAAGTGGGAGAAGAGATATATTTTACAAGGATACTTGGTGGATTTGAGATCTACGTTAGGGGTGGATTTAAAAATGAGGGTTTTGTAATTTAAAAACCCAAGGATTTATCAAGGATTTGAGGTATTATGGATTTGTAACAATCATTTGTTTGTTGGGATGTTTTTATCACGAATTTAAAGGTGTGAGATTTACTACTTGAAGTCAAAAATTACATTGCTGCCATTTTCTATATGTTTGACATGTTTATAATATGTACACAAAACAAGGACAAAACTTCAAAATTACCTTACTATCATTTTCTATATGTTTGACATATTTATGATATGTACACAAAACAAGGACAATACATACTAATAAGCATAATGTTGCCACATGGACAATAATAATAAACGAGAAAATTTCGTTTTAACTTTTAACGTAACATAATCAATTACCAATTCTTTGTCCTCCTTTTCAAAAGTAACATATAACAACATATATTAGAATCGGGAGAACAAAGAATTACACGTTCCATAAAAAGATCAAAGAAAACTAGAACACAAGAAATGATATAAAAAATCTAACTCATGTTTGCACATTAATTGAACGTTTATATTATTCATTTATTGTTAATTATAATTTATAATAGTTAAATTTGAGGGCAACTTTGGAATATTAAAAGTGCATGAGGGTATATGGGTAAAATCTCATCAAGGATTTATGCCATATTCCAAATCCCACATCAACATGTGGGATTTATAAGTCCGTGGGCCCCACGGATTTGGTCTCCAAAAAAGGTGCAAGCAAACAACGGATTGTACCTAGGGGTGTCAATTCGGTTTCCGGTTAGCGGTTAACCGGCCGGTTTAACCGTTAACCGCCGGTTAACGGCTAACCGGAAACCGAAATTCACATGCCTCGGTCGGTTGTCGGACGCATGCTATGGTTAGCCGGTTAGCCGAGTAACCGAAGCCGGTTAACCGGCTAACCGAAGCTAACCGACCGAAGAAAACGGCGTCGTTTTGGCTAAGACGAAAACGACCAAACCCTACCTCTTCGACACTTCGCCTCTTCGTCCAGCACCAGCAGCCTCCATCCTCACTTGCTTCGACCTCCATCCTCTGTTCCTCCCTCAAGACTGGCGACCCCCAGCCCTCCGTCCAGCTCGACGTCGCCCCGCTGTCCGACCCCAGCCCTCCGACCCCCAGCCCCAGCCCTCCGACCCCCAGCCCCAGCCCTCGCCTTCCGACCCCCAGCCCTCCGTCCCTCACGACGAGTCACGACCGCCGCCTCCACCTCGACGTCGCCCCGCCGCCCTCCTTCTCCTCGCCCCGTCGCCGCCTACACCTCGACGTCGCCCCGCCGCCCTCCTTCTCGTCGCAACAGCTCGTCCGTCGGCCGTCGCCCATTTTGAAGCCGCACCAGCAGGCCAGCTCGTCCGTCGAATTAATGTAGGTCAATTGTGTTGTTTGACGTTTGTAATGCGAGATGTAGGTCAATTGTGTTGTTTGATTATGAATGGGGAATTGGGGATATGATTATTGATTCTTGATTACTAATGGGGAATTGGGGATATGATTCCAAGGTCATGGCGGACTAGGGGCAGAAGGAATCAATATGGCTGAATTAATGTAGGTCGAAGTCGAATTAGTCAATTAGTATATTGAACATTCAATTCAATTATGTAGGTCGAATTAATTTGGTCGATTGGTGATGAATGATAATGCTTAGTCTCATTATCAAAAGTAATTAGAAATGTAAAATGATGATGAATGATGTTTTTGATTGATGAATGATTATCATTGATGATGATTGTTAGTTTTTATTTGTTAGAATTTGTGAATTTAGGGCGATTGATTATGAATGTCGAATGATGATTGTTAGTTGCTGATGATGATGATAATTTGATGTAGGGCGAGACCTCCGGCTCCACGTGGTGGACGTGGTGGACGAGGTGCACCATCCGCTGAGACTGCTTCTCGTGGTGGGAGACCTCCGGCCCCTCGAGGTCGTGGTGGTGCGGGTGCCTCAGCCCCTCCTACTCAGAATCGGGGTCGTGGTGGACGTACAGGGAGTCGGCCTGTTCAGTCTGCTGAACCGTCGGCATCGGCATCAATTGCATCGACTCCCGCCCATGCCGGTAGTGGAAGTACACCTGCTACTGAGCCTCCTTCAGCAGAAACGGTTAATCCGGCTCCAAATAAAGCTCCTGTAGATCCCTTCAATCTAGGGAAATGGTTGGAGACAGCAGGTACAGCTGATTGCTGGAAGGACTTTACGAGGGTGGCGGAAAATGAATATCCGTTTGGAGAGTGCAAGCATTGTCACACTAGGATCAAAGCACATCCATCCAAGAACGGCACTTCTGCAATGAATACCCATCGGCTCAAATGTTTGGCTAAGGTTGCAGCATCCAAGGATCAGACTGTTCTGAACTTGCAGGCCGCAGATGGTAGTCAAGTAAGTGCTTTATGGAAATTTGATCAAGCAAAAGCAAGATATTCATTAGCCATGATGATTATAATGGATGAGTTGTCTTTTCGCTTTGTGGAAAGAGACGGGTTTAAGCAGTTTATGCATACGGTTCAGCCACTGTTTAAGATACCTGGGAGGAGAGGTATAAGAGATGATTGCTTTCATATATTCTTGGAGAAAAAGATGAATTTGATAGAGTTTTTTGAATCAAAGAGCAAAGGCAGAGTTTCAATCACCACAGACACGTGGACTTCTGACAACAACAAAAATTTCATGTGTGTGACTGCTCACTTTGTTGGAGGTGATTGGAAGTTGCAGAAGAAGGTGATCTCCTTTGTTCCGATCACAAGTCATACAGGAAATGATATTGCAGAGAAGCTTGCAGAAATTCTTGAAGAATGGAAGGTGAAGAATTTGTTCTGCATGACCATGGACAATGCATCTACAAATGATATTGTGAGTGATTGCATGAGAAGGAAATTAAAGGTGTGGGGGTGTGATTTGATGGATGGGAAGTATCTGCAGTTTCGATGTGTCGCACACATCATTAATCTGGTAGTGCAGGATGGATTGAAAGTAATCGGAGGAGCTGTGGATAGAATTCGGGACTGTGTGAAATGGGTGAGGTCATCGCCAGCTAGGTTGGCAAGGTTCAAGACTGGTATGCAGTTTCTGGAGTTGGATTCTACCAAATTGGTGTGTTTGGATGTACCGACCAGGTGGAACTCCACCTATATCATGTTAGAAGCAGCAGAAAGGTCTGGTGGAGTGTTTACCACTTTGTATACAAGTATACATGACCATTCCTTCAGGGATTATATTGACGCAAGAGGTGGTCTTCCAACTGAACATGATTGGAGTCTGATTAGAAAGTTGATGAAGTATCTGAAGGTCTTTAATGACTTTACCCTCCTAGTCTCAGGTAAGTGAAATTTGACAATTTGTTTATTTTATTTTGAACATTTGACAATTTTGGTTTGTTTAAGTCTAATTTCCTGTATTCTATTCTCATTTGTACAGGAACTAAATATGTGACTATCCATCTTTTCTTCAAGAAACTTGTTCCAATTTATGACATCATTCAAGAATTGAAGAATGATCCGCGTGAAGAGCTCCAAAGGATGGCAGAAAAGGTTGAAGAAAAGGTACGAAAATATTGGTTTGACACACCTATCATGAATGAGGAGAATCATCGGGTGAATAATTTAATCTATATAGCATGTGTGCTTGATCCTAGAAGTAAACTTGATCTTGTGTCTGAAGTGTTGATAATGATTTATGGAAGTATCAAAGGAGGGGAAATTCAGACTAGGATTAAAAGGGAGATGCGGCAGATGTTTGAGATTTATAAGAGGAAGTATGGATCAGAGTTAGCATCTCAGGCTACCACTGATGATAACATTGTTGATGAGGGTATTGTTGATGGTGCTGGTGATCGGATTAAGTTATTGGAGGAGAGGCTTAGAAAGAGAAAAAGGGAAGCACTTCTGCTGGAAACAGGAGGTAGCTCTGCTGAGCTTGACATCTATTTGAAATGTCAAACCGATGGTATCAATGAAGAAAGTGATGATGCAAAGTTTGACATTTTGGATTGGTGGTCTCGACACTCTGGAATCTATCCGATTGTTGCTGAGATGGCTAAGGATGTCCTAGCTGTTCCTATCTCTTCTGTTGCCTCAGAGGCAACATTCAGTTGTGGCGGGCGGATTCTCAGTCCATTCAGGTCCTCTTTGAGCGACCTAATGGTGGAGGCATTGATTTGTGCCGAGGATTGGATAAGGTATCCCGGATCCAGGGAGATCGACGACAAGGAAGATGATGAAGAGAATTTGACTTTGGAAAGTAGTGAGTTTCTCAAACTCTCTTATTGTTCAGTTTTTTGTCTTCTTTTCACCTGATTCAATGTACTAACACTTTGGAAAGTACTAACACTTTGTTTTCCTTTTTTTTCTTACTCAGTTAATGTCACTTTCCAAACTAGAATGGAAAGTGCAACGAATACTGGCAATGTTGGCAATACAGATGCAAGCCTCAACATTCCAGTGGAGAATGAGCAGGATGGTGAAGAAGATGCACCAGAGGAAGAGTATGAGCAGGATGGATATGACGATTATGGTCATGACTTGAGGGACGTATTGAAGGAACAGGGTTATGCAGATGTTGGTTCTTCTAAGGCCGGTGATAAGTGATGATAGATTGTTTATGATGTGTTGTTGATTTGTTGTTATCTAGTGGACTTATTGTGATTTGTGGAGTTTATGTTGCTGAATTAATGAATATGAGACATTAAATTGCTAATTTAGATGTATTTTCGGTGCAAAACGAATTGAAATGTAGGTTTGAGATTTTAATTTTAGGCCATTTTAGTTTTTTTCCCTTGCTGTCCGGTCGGTTTTGACCGGTTTAGGGTCGGTTTTCGGTCTTGGCGGTCGGTTTTTAGGTTCTGGCGGTCGGTTTATTTCGGTTTCCAATCGGTTCATTCCGGTTTTCGGTCGGTTAGCCCATCAAACCGAACCGGCCTGCTCCTTTTCGGTGTAGACGGTTTAACCGGCCCTTAACCGAAACCGCCCGGTCGGTTTTCGGATAACCGAGCCGTCTGCTTCGGTCGGTGGCCGGTGGACACAGGTCAGGTCACGGTTTAACCGAAAACCGAGATTTCGGTTTTCGGTTAAACCGAAACCGACCGAGTGACAGCCCTAATTGTACCTAAATCCTTCATAGTTGGTTTTTTGGTACCAAATCCATGAAGCAAACAACCCCTTTCTCTCTCTCGAAACTGAAATAAGGCCGGCGAAGTTGGAGAGTATTCAGACAATCCATCATTATGTTGCTCTCTCGCTCTCTTCTTTCTACCTCGACTCAGCCTGCAAGGACTCTAGAGCCACCTTCGCGGATCCTTCTCTCTGGTAGAGGAGCATTTGGAACTGAGGAACCCGGCATCCAAAATCCCTCCCGCCCCAGTTAACGCGCAGTCACTATTGCTTTCTTCACAGGATTCCCCGAATCAAAACCGGTGACAATAGCTCTTCGATGGAGATCCAAATTCCATCCCGCCTCAGTTAACACGCAGACCCTCACAATCGTACGTATCAGAGGTTTCATTTTTAGGTTATTCTTTCTATCATTCGATTTTCCCCCTCTTTACCCCCTCCTTTCTCACCTCCTCTCTCATTGTATCTTCGAGCTTTCTCTTTGGTGACTGCAAATTTTCGTTTGTGATGCTCACGACAGTCAAACTCCATCAATTCATTCGCTCTGCTGCGCTCCTGATCGAGGGAAGAACTTCGAGACACAGTCGCTGTTCCGCCGGCTGCCTCATGGTGAAGAAGACGATATGAAGGTACTTAACTTTTATCCGTCTTGACTTGAGGAACCCCTTTGCTCCAAGAAACCCGTAAGCCAGTGGCTTCGATTTTTTCTGATTTGTTTCAAGTTTCTCACTTTATTCTTCTCTTGTCAGACCTGCCAGGTAAGCGACGAGTAAATCGGAGTTCATGGTGGTTGTTGTGGCAAGTGATTGACGGAGAAGCCAAAATAATTAGATTTGTTTGGGATACAGCCATACAGGTTTGTATGATGGTGGGTTTTATCTTACACAAGTTTGTAGCTAGCTAAAAGGCTTTAACATCAACCAATTAATTTATACCAACCCTCATCTTAAACTACCGCCGCATTGTTCTCCTTACTATAGCGTACTTGGATTTGTTTCCAATTTGTTAACATCAGCCATCTTTGAGCTCACCAACTTGCGGATCTTGACTATGCAATTTTATCCTCTTCTCTGCTTCGAGCTTTCACCATGTTCACATTTGCTAGCCCCATTCGGATCATTCAGTATCCACAGCTTGATATCTTTATCTGGTCCTATGCATCCTTTATCCAATAATTACTTCACTAAACTTTTTGTGTTACATATGCTAATCTTTTATTATCCCCTCTCTATCTTGTAGGCACATCTTTTATGGAGTCAGGTATCTAATCTAACAAACATGGCTATAGACTATAGTCCTTTGTTCCTTCTATTAACTACGTACCTTCGGTTCACACATATCGTTGCTGCAGATTTTGATATGGTTTACCGTGTTAACTGTATGTCTTCCATTTATGTTATTCCATTGGTGTAAGAAATAGAATAGTTATCATCCATAATTGTACTGAATGCAAAATTAAACGAAGATGCTGCAAAATTAAACGAAGATGATGAATATGTTTTTTTTTTTAAAGGATGTTTGTCCTTGGAGTCTTTGGATGGTGATTCAATCTTCTGAAGGATGTTTCCCAACGCTGCTACCACGAGTTTTGGTGGCTTAGAAAGCGGAAGGAAACCAACTCGATTGAGTCTCCCTTGGAAGGGGGATTTTCCTCTCTAAACTAGGCTAATGTGGCTAATTAGATTGCTAGCACCTAAATGCACAAACCTAGGGGTGCTAACTGCTAAGCACAATTATGCACAATCCTTAGGTTGCTAAAGCACCTAAATGCACAAATCTAAAGATGTTAAGCACAAAACATGCACAACCCTTAAATTGCTAAGCACAAGTATGCACAATCATTGAATTGAACAATACCCAGTGACAATCATCCAAAATACATACAAGAAAACTACATGGTAGAGTTAGGGTTCCACTACACCCAAGTGAAGTGATGTCTACTCCATGCTAGAAGTGGGAAAAACAAAAGGGAAAGAGGTGGAAACCATCTTTGAGAATGCTCCTAGTCTTCTTGGCCCTTGAGTTGAGTTTTCCTTGGAGGAAATCTTCCCAAAATCTGCCTTGAAGCCAAACCCTAACCTTCTTCTTCCCTTGGGTTCTATTTCTCTCACTAGAATGCCGAAGAAGGATTTACACACAAAAGTGGGCTCCCCCTCTCTCCTCCCTTCAACTCATCTTTTAAACCAGAAATGAGCTGAGTTCACGGCCGTGAACCATGAAACGCGTCCGTGAACTCTAGGCGTGCCCCAAAATGCACCGCGTCGATCTCTTCAGTTCACGGTCAATTGCCTTTGTTCACGGTCTTAGTGACCGTGAACCCACCTTGCGTCAGTAACCTTCACTTTGGCTCTGGACGCCTCGCGATTCTCGGCCATCTCCTCTTCTTCACGGTCATGCGCGACCGTGAAATCCCTTGGTTAGTCGTGAACTGACTCTTTTTCACCTCTTCTCCCGGTGTTCTATCCTTTTCTCCAATCTATCGACTCCGAGGCTGGTTTCACCTGTTTAATCCTGAAACACACTCAAACACAAAGACCCTAGCGTAAAACCAACATTTATGGAGTGAATTTGGCACAAACATCTAAATAAAACGGGCCAAAACATGTGCAATTAGTCCCGAATCAAAACAAAATCGAAATTTCATACAATGTGATTGTCAAGTTTTATATGAGGAAATTGTTCTCGAAAAAGGTAATTGCATATAACGAGAAAAAGAGTGAAAGATGGTTATGCTATAATAAAAAAAATTGTTAGCAGCCGAAAACAATGGTTATCATGGTGACGAATGAGAACATTCTTTTTGGTGGTTGTCAAACCTTCCCGTGAACTCGAAATAAGTTATGAATTTGAATTCACATTTCTCTTAAATTGATAAAAGACACGAAATGGATTGTCGCTTAATTTATCTCATCCGACCAACGGGCCGGACTTTGTGCTAGTTTAATTAAAGAGAGAATATTTGACCAGTTTGATTTTCAGTAATTTTTTTTACAAGAAAAATGTTTATTTTTTACAAGGAAAATGTTTATTTTTGTCATTAAAAATAAAAACAATCATTGTTTAATGAAAATTCTATTGCTTTACATGGCACCATAATTAGTAAAATACGGTACATGTATGTAAGTTACATTATTTATATATATGTATGGAGTATTGTATAATATTTTAACATAAGAGTGTGTTTAAAAGTTCAGCATTAGCTATAAACTACTAGAAGTCTATAATTTAAAGTGAGTATATATATATATATAATTCAATAAATTATCAATTAAATTCCTTAAAACAATTAAGTGAAAAATTAAATAAACAATAAACAAGATATAGCTCTATAATATTATAATACCAAGAGCGAGAGTTTTAAACGAATTTAGTATGTATATGGGTATTAAAAAAATTTAACTAACCTATGTGGCAAATGTGACATCCGTGTCAACAAATGAAAAATGTCATACAGTATTATGATAAAAAAAAGGATTAACAGTTAGGTTAATCCCTATGCTCCCCTGCTGTCCTTGTTGGGAATGAATAGCTTTGAAAGCTATATTGAATTAATTATCCCGTATTCTTTCTAGATACGAAAATAGATGGATAATTAATAAAAGGAATATTATGGAGATAATTAGGAATAATTATCTTAATAGATTATATTTTAATTGTGGGAGTAATTATCTCCCTAATTAAAATATGACTTATTCCCAAAGAAAGAGGGAATATTCTGGGTTTTCTGCTCCTATAAATAGGAGACGCCCCAGACCCTCTAAACACACCTCAGAGAGCAGAAACACGAGATAGAGAGTGAGTTCATAGAGCTCCGGTTTTTCGCACAAAACCGATGAGCAACAAAATTAGACTGGCTGTTTTATCCTGGAGGCGACCGGCTGATAGTCTGCTGTGCGCATTACGAGGCAGTGCCGCGAACGTCTTAAAGAGAGCGACCTAGTCCGCGACTCAGCCAGATTCGGTAACCCTAATTTTTCCTGTTCGATTTCTAACAGTCCTTGTTTCGGTTTCTTGTCTTATAGAGAAGGCACTCAGGAGTCCTCCCAGATCCTTATCCTTGCACCATTACATTACCCACTCTCCATCTGATGCCTTTCAGTATAAGCTCTCGGGCCGACAAAATGCTTCTCCAGGAAGTAGTCAGCCTTCAGGATTTTCCCGATGAAAGAATCGGGTTTATTCAAGAGGATCCATAATATAATTGTTCTGCCAGGAGCGCTTTGTTAAAGGCAACCAACTCCCCCTTCTTCCTTAGCTTTGCACATATACTGCCATTTCTTCCTATGGATCCTGTTTCTGTTTTCGTTTCCCCCACCAATAATTCGATATACGACTATTAATCTCACTAATCAGGCAACTTGAAGACATACATGGCAAAATTACCTTGCGCCAATGCTACTGCTTTGATGAGCACAAATTTATCTCCCTGCCATGGAAACAAACCTTCCTTCCTATACATTTTTTTTTAGGTCAAGTCTCCCTTAATTAACATCATTGATGCATGTCTTAATAGATAATTAGAAATCAGCTGGTTCGATGGCATAGTTAATACAAGTGTAATTCATTTGATCGCAATTACAATGATTAACTTGTTATCAAAGTATCAAACTCTAGAACCATCAGTCACACCATTATATATATAATCAACATTTTTCTATGCATGTATGTATTGTATAAGAACCTGTCGTGTGGCCTCAAAGAATCTCCCTACTGTTAAATCATCTGAACATAATCATATGCTGAAAAAAGCACCGTTTGTAAAATCGTATTGCACCGGCTATTCGATCGAGAGAACCTCTTACCTTTTTGAGCGACATGAAGCAATTGAACAACACTACTTTCAGCATAAAATATCATATCTTTTTCGGAACCCCTTTTATTCCTTCCTAACGAAAGACGCTCCTTTCCATGAGTCATGTAACTTAATCTTACCTATACGGACCTATTCGGTCCTTTTCCATAGATGTCATGGCACGAGAGCACAACACAAGTGCTGTGCTGGTTATTCATTCAAAAAAGCTGCAGCCATTATCAAGTAGGTAGCCAGACTAGCTAATTGGTGCAAGGCAATGTGACGAGTGGGCCTTGCTTGAGAACACACCAACACCTTCCGTCGGCGCTGTAAACCTTGCCGCAATTCAGCCCTTTGCATACAACGCGTAGGCAATAGTCGTCGTCAGAATCTGGCACCACACTCTCAGTAGCACTACTATCGTTGTTCTTCATCATCTCCTCCTTAACCCTGCTGGTCTGTGCCGCCGCACCTAATTAATATATTGATCATAGATCCAAGTATCAAACACACAAAAATAAAAAATCAGTGAGGAAACTGATCAGCCGTCCGTCCGTACGTACGTGAAAGAAAAACAAGACTCACCACCTGCTGTGGAAGTGGTGGCCAGCAGAAGAGTGCAGAAGAGGAAAGCAAGCTTGAGTGAGATTCTTTTCTCCATATTTTCTTTGCCTTGTGAATTGTATGCTGATCGATCAGAATTTGTTCTCTACGTCTGTCTATCTATCTATCTATCTATCTATAGGGAAACAAGAAGAACAATTTGCCCGTACGGGAAATGAGAGGCTAGAGATTGGCGGTGGGCGGTTGAAAGAATTTCCGACATTCAATTTTTGGCATTCCTTAATTAATGAATAGCTAGCGCATCGAAATTGGAATTTTTGTAGGATCACTGTATGCAGTCAGTTCTTGTTTGCGAGGAAAATGTAAATTTGGAAGGAGAGATGCAGAGCCAGTTGGGTTTTTGGCCAATTTTGGAAGGAAATAGAAAGGGTGGTGATTCTTTATAGTTTCAGTCCACGTT